GTGTCCTGTACACACACGCATGTTTCAGTCTGTGTCCTGTACACACACATTTCAGTCTGTGTCCTGTACACACACACGTTTCAGCCCGTGTCCTGTACACACACACATTTCAGCCCGTGTCCTGTACACACACGCATGTTTTACTCCACATCCTGTGCACACACACACACACACGCACACACACACACGTTTCAGTTTATGTGAACGAGCCACTTCCCAGGCCTCCTGGGCGTCTGGTGTAGCAGACGTGGTGTGGGAGGGCTTGCAGTGTGTGTACACGTGAGGGCCCACCTCGTCCACTTGGTGCCCGGCTGAGAAGGCTGAGCTGCACCCACCCTGGACAGCGTGGTGGCTGTGAGGCAGGCGGGGAAGCTGAGGCTCACAGGGATCCCCGACTCTGGGTCTCCAGGCCCTCGAGCCTCATTAGCTGCTCCTTGAGACACAGAGGGCTCAGGGCCAAGCCCTGGCTTCAGCTAATGATCATGCCGGGCCCCAGCACTGGCTCCCAGAGCCCTGCGTGGGCTCCCCGTGCTTCCTGCCCACCTCGGCCGGAGCACTCAGAGCCGGGCAGGTGGGAACAGAGGGTGGGGGGAGGCAGTGCGTCAGGCATGTGCTCAGCCCAGGAGCCCCCTCGCTCTGCGCCTCAGGCTGCGTCATGCTTCTCGCTGGACTTCAGCCTTCCTTTCTGTGCAGTGGGGACATTAACCCCTCCCTGCACGTGACCCACTGTAGACACGGCTTTCTGTGTCGGGAGAGGCTGGGAGGCTGGCCTAGGAGTTTTTAGCCAGAAAGGACACAGCTTTAACCAGAGGGTGGCTCAGGTGGTGGGTAAGGAAACCACGAGTCAGCCTGCGTTGGCGTCCTCCCCTACTGTGTCAGTGAGTCCCCGAAATATACTGGGAGGCTCGGGGGCAGCCCAGCCAACTGCCCGCCCTGCACCAGCCCTGGCAGGCGCTGTGTTGCTGGCACAGCCTCAGTGGGTGCACCTCTCTCACTGCAGTTAGCGTTTTCATTTTCTTGGTCTCCGATGCCCCACTGGGAGCATCCATTTGCCAGCGTCCCCGAGGAAGGCCGGAGGCCCGTAAACAAGAGCATAAGCACATCCTCGATGGTGCAGGGGTGGGGAGGACTCTGGACTGAGGTCTGTGTGTGCAGGCTGGTGTGGCCCCAGCAGTTAGGGCTCCTGGTGCGGCGCTGCCTTGTGCCTGGGGTGGTTTTCTTCTAGAAGGAGCTGGTCAAGTCCCGATGGGCTTCAGCCCCACTCAGCTCCTGCTCCGCAGGCCCAGCAGGTTGCCACCTGCTGACAAGGTGAAGGGTTGCTTCTGCTGTCATCTGCTTGGGGGACCCCAGATATGCCCTCAGCGTGTCCTCACCCTACCCACTGTCCCCACGCAGGTCATCCCAGACTGGAAGGAGCAGGAGTGGGACCCCGAGAAGCCTGACAGCTATGCAGGCATCTTCCACTTCCACTTCTGGCGCTTCGGGGAGTGGGTGGACGTGGTCGTCGATGACCGGCTGCCCACGGTCAACAACCAGCTCATCTACTGCCACTCCAACTCCCGCAACGAGTTCTGGTGTGCGTTGGTGGAGAAGGCTTACGCCAAGTAGGTGGCAGCCGTGGTGAGCATGGGGCGGGCATGCTCTGGGCAGCTGGGCAGCAGTGGGGGCGGCCTCCAGGCACGAGGGGCTAGGGGCTAATGCAGAGCCAGCGCTCAGAGCCTGGACCACAGCCGACCGTGTGTCACGCACAAAAGGCGCTCGATGTCTGAGGTCACGATGTATTTTTCTGTATTTCCCTATGCAAAAACGCATCATGACTTTCCCAGCGACCCAATATGTTAAGCGGCTTATCGCGTACACGATTGAAGTATAACCGGAGCCCAGCTCGTCTGCTTTCTCACACAGCGACAAGCAAGCTCCGGCATCTTCCCCAGCACAGGAATTCTTTTCCAGGGCTTGTCCCCAAGCCCATTTAGCGCTCTAGATGCGTTAGCTTTTAAAACCCATTCCCGTTTGCTAGACGTTTTCAGTCATTTCTGTTCTTTGTTTTGTTTTGTTTTGAGAGATTTTTGCTAAAGGGCATGTGCACGTGCCAGAGAGAGAGACAGGAAGTGAGACATGAGCCCCTGGGGGATGGCCATGCCGTCATCCTTTCTCCTGCATTCTCCTGTCGGGATTTTGAGCACGTACTCACATGCACCCGGCATGAGCTTCAAACCGCCAGGTCCAGGGCTCAAACTGCTATTGACTGTGTGGGAGTCCAGCACTGTAACAATTACGCCATCTGCTGGTCCCTAGTTATTTCTGTTCTATCGTCATTATAAATCATGGTACTTCCACCAGCCCTTGGCCTGCTGGTTACGGTGACTGGGTCCCACATGACCAACTGCACGTTCTGGGTCTCAGACTCAGTAGCTTGAAAAATCACTTGCGGCAGAGACCAGCAGATGGCATAATGGTTATGTCACTGGACTCTCGCGTAGTTGAATACTGTTCGAGTCCTGGACCCGGCTGCTTGAAACACAGCAGGCACATGTGCGTGCGTGTGGTCATCCTCCCAGGGGTGATTTCCTGCTTTCTGTCTCTCTCTCTCCGGTGAGTGCATGTGTCCTATAGAAAAAAAAAAAAAAACTCTCTAAAAACCACTGGGGGCACATGTGTGTACATGCCCCAGATCCTGAAAGGAGGGAGAAATAGAGGCGGGATTGTGGTGCAACCTTCCTCATGAGAGTACTTTCTACTTTCCAAACTCTGTCTCTCTCTGGCACATCAGAAGCTACTACTAATAAACTTCATCATATTACTTGTGCAGAATTGGTGCCAAAAGCTATATGAGGTTTTAATGCTTTAGGAAAGAAGTGCTTGGTTTTTGCACATCTAGCTGAAGATGGAGCTGCTGAGGCTTAAGATAATTTGAGCCATGAAGTGGTGGCTGTCTGTGGGTGGACGTGGACCTAGGGGGCGAGACTGGGTTCTGGCGTCGGCTCTGCTGTGGCCTGCAGCGTGATCTTGGTGGGTTGCTTGACTTCTCTGTTAAATACTTACACGGGAAGTCTTGGGTGTGAGCGTTTAGGCCCACAGGGAGTGCAAGCTGTGTGTTCTTCCACTTGACTGCCCAGGCTGGCCGGCTGCTACCAGGCCCTGGACGGAGGCAACACGGCCGACGCGCTGGTAGACTTCACGGGCGGCGTCTCCGAACCCATTGACCTCACTGAGGGGGACTTCGCCAACGACGAGGCCAGGAGGAGCCAGCTGTTCGAGCGCATGCTGAAGGTGCACAGCCGGGGCGGCCTCATCAGCGCCTCCATCAAGGTCAGACCATGGAGGCCCTGGGGCTCTGCCCCTTTGCCAACCTGGCTGGGCTAGGCAGGCGGAGCACCCAGGGCAGCTCACAAACCCAGCCCTGAGCCTGGCTGGGGAGCAGCCCCAGCCCCAGCGCCCTTCCCCACCCCAAAACTGTCCTGCCATGCCCACTTTGAGGCCCTCGCAGCCCAGGGCAAACAGAAGGGGAAGGAGCCCACACCACATGTCCCCAGCGCGATGGGGCACCCGGGGACCACAGACTCACCGTGAAGGGAGCCGGGACCCAGGGCAGCACATTAGAGCCCAGGCTTAGCTGCCTTGGCCGTGCTGATGGACGAGCTCCCGGGAAAATCAGCAGCCACACCGGGACCTGGTCACTTCTGTGTGTGACTCACCACGGCTGATTTTCAGCCAATGTTTAAATCAGCTCTCAAATTCCTCAACTGCTGTCAGCTGGCCCAGCAGCCCCGGCTCACCCTGCTGCGGGCACCTTCCTTCACCCTGGCTCCTGCCCCGGGCGCCTGGGAAAGTCTGGGAATTCAGCCCTTCTCCCCTCACCCTCCACCACACACACACACACACTCACACACACACTCACACACACTCACACACTCTCACACACACTCACACACACTCACACACACACTCACACACTCTCACACTCACTCACACACACTCACACACACACTCACACACTCTCACACACACTCACACACACTCACACACACACTCACACAGAACAGGGTATGCTCCTGAGGACCTGTGTCCTCCCACAGGCAGTGACAGCAGCTGACATGGAGGCCCGCCTGGCGTGTGGCCTGGTGAAGGGCCACGCGTACGCTGTCACCGATGTCCGCAAGGTGCGCCTGGGCCATGGCCTGCTGGCCTTCTTCAAGTCGGAGAAGCTGGACATGATCCGCCTGCGGAACCCCTGGGGCGAGCGCGAGTGGAACGGGCCCTGGAGTGACACGTGAGGTTGGGGGTAGGGGTGGAGCAGGGCATGTGGGCTTCCTGGAGGAGGTGGCACTGGGACTGGGCCTTGAAAGATCTGGGAGAAGGGTGCATTAGGAGACAGCAGGCATGTGGGGTGGGTGAGCAAAGCCTGGAAGGGAAGGGCTGACCTGCGGGAGACAAGAATCTGGGTTGGCCAGCCAGAGCAACTTGGGTGTTGGGCCCATGACCTGGCCGAGGCCAGGAGAGGATGGGGCTGGTGCCCCGTGAAGGAGCCCCTCCCCAGCCTGCAGCCTTGCTCCCAGCCTGCCGTGCCCTTGCATGGTAGCCACCCACAGTGCCCTGCAGGAGGGCAGACAGGGCCTCCTAGGGGCTGGGTGGTGCCCGGGTGCCCTGACCACCCCACCCCACAGGAGGCCAGGTGCTGAGCTGTGCCAAGTGGGCCCTCGTGCCTCGTCTCCCGGACCAGCCCGGTCCTGGCGGGCCCTTCCTCTTATGCTTCTCATGCTGTCCCCGCTCTCCTGCCCCATCCCAGCTCAGAGGAGTGGCAGAAAGTGAGCAAAAGTGAGCGGGAGAAGATGGGCGTGACCGTGCAGGACGACGGCGAGTTCTGGTGAGTGCCGGCCTGGCACTGGGGGCACACAGGACGGGGCACCAGCAGCCGGTTGCCGAGAGGAGGTAGGGAAGGGGGGCATCTGAGAGGAGCTGGCTCCTGAACTGAGGCTTGGGGTGCAGGCCAGCTCTAGGTGGGTGAGGAGGCCAGGCCCAGAGGCGAGAGCACAGGGTGGGAAGACAGGAGAGCCCGGGGAGCTGGGCGGCATGGGTCGGCAGGAGGCAGAAGCCCCGCCCAGAGCCCTGCCATCCTCCTGTGTCACCCAGCTGCGTGCCCTCAGCTGCATTCAGTCCGACTCACAGCCACTTCTGGGGGGTTTCAGGGCGCACTATGTACGGCGGGGGCAGGGAGGGCCTCATGCAGGCCAGGGGAGCCACTGCCCAGGCCACCCAGGCCCAGGCCTGGGCTCCGGTGGACAGAACCTCCCTGTCTTCTGGCTCGGGATGGAGTAAATGAGAACCCCGCTGTCTGGAAGGGGCCCCTTCCTGAGGCTTTTCCTTTATGTGTTTGTGGAGTGCCTCCCACACCTCCCACCGCACAGACCCCTGGAGGTGCACCGTGCATGGTGACTGTCACCACGCCTGGCTACAGAGACCTGCTGGGGCCAGCCCCAGATTTCCAGGCCTCCTGCATCACTCCAGCGGGCACCTCTGTGAGGGGGCACCTTGGTGCATCCACGCTTTACAAATGAGGAAACAGGCCGAGGGAGGAGCAGGGGGAGCGGGAGCAGGAGGGGCAGGGCGCAGGGGGTGCCGCTGAGCCCTCTGCGCCTAGGATGACCTTCGAGGACGTGTGCCGGTACTTCACGGATGTCATCAAGTGCCGCCTCATCAACACGTCCTACCTGAGCGTCCACAAGACGTGGGAGGAGGCCCGGCTACGCGGCGCCTGGACGCGGCACGAGGACCCACGGCGCAACCGCAGTGGGGGCTGCATCAACCACAAGGACACCTTCTTCCAGAACCCGCAGGTGGGCTCTTCCGGCCGTGAGCTCTCGGGGCCGCCAACCCCTGCAGCTGCGGCCAGCTGAAGGGTGCATCCCCTGTCCCTCCTGGGCCTCGGTTTACCTGTCTGCAGTGGGGCTTGGATGGGCACGCCAGTTCCGTTTGGGTTCACGAAGCCTCACAATCGGTCGTGTAGACAGCAAAATAAGGAACAGCTAGGGCAGCAGGTGGCGTGGTGGTTAAGGTGCTGGACTCCCATATGGCCCAGCGCAGTTTGAGCCCCCGTCCTGGCAGCCTGAAACTCCCGCTGGGCACGTGTGTGCATACCCAGAACCCCGAGAGAATGGAGAAGGGATTGCAGTGTGGCCATCCTCCTTTGGGGAGATTTCTCACCTTCCCTCTCTGTGTCTTTCATGAGCCCTATGACAATATCCTAAAGAATAAAAAGGGAACAGCACTGAAGGATGGACCAGTGTCTTGTCCGGAGTCACAGGGGCACTGGGTCGGCTCCCCCCATGGCAGGATCCTTCCCTTCTCCGGGAGCGTGGCCAGGCTGGGCTGCTGGACGGGGACCCCACCCCTGCGGCTTCCATGGTCACCACAGGACAGCAGCTGGTCTCATGCCTGAGGAGCCTTTGTCCCGCACAGCTGCGGGCCAGCTCTGGGGGGCTCTGTTGTCTACCGGGGCCTCCCAGCCTTGGTGCTGGTGGGCCTGTCGGCCAGAGGAGAGACTCAGACTCAGGGAGGCAGCGCCCGGCCGGCCAGCTCCCAGGGCGCCCCGCAGTGCCGCGTCTCAGCACAGTCTCCCTGGCCATGCCCACAGTACGTCTTCGACGTCCGGAAGCCCGAGGACGAGGTGCTCATCTGCATCCAGCAGCGGCCCAAGCGGTCCACCCGCAGGGAGGGCAAGGGTGAGAACCTGGCCATCGGCTTCGACATCTACAAGGTGAGGCCCTGGGACCTGCTGCGGCTGAGCGGGGGCGGGCCTGGGGAGAACACCACCGGGCACTCCTGGTGACTGGCCTCGCCCAGCGCCCCAGCCGTACTGGCTGACCTGGGGGCTGCCTGGGAGGGGCTTCTGCCAGAGCGCTCAGCCTGGGCTCTGAGACCCACAGACCCACAGGAGGGCGCCCTCCCGAGCCTGGCTGGATTGGATGCTGGGAGGAGGCCTCCCTTGGGCACGCCGCTCCCTGGCCTGGAACCTGAGGCCTTCGGCGTGTTGGCATACCCGGGTGTGGGGCCCATCCACACGTGGGTCCACACATGCGCGTCAGTCCCCAGAACTTCAGGAACCACAGGTTGTAGGGCGGTCGGAGCTGAGTCCTGGCATGTGGAGTGCTGCGTGGTGAGCTGGCACGTGCTGGTGTGTGGCATGCCACGACCTTCCCTAACGTCCCTGTGACATATGGCGGCACTTGTTTCCGGAATTGTCCAGCAAGTCCTGGTGATCTCATTTCATGGCCACTGAGATCGTGATTCTTGGTTCTCTTGTGACAGGACTGTTATCGAGGGGCTCCTTTCACCCTCCCTGCCTTTCATGTTTTTTTAGAGAGATTTTTGCTATAGGGCATGTGTGCTCACTGGAGAGACAGAGAGACAGAAAGCGAGAAATCTCCCCCCAGGGGGGATGGCCACACCGCAGTCCCTTCTCCTCCACTCTCCCCCTTGGGATCTTGGGCACGCACACATGCCCTGCGTGAGGTTTAAGTCGCGAGGTAGGAGTCCAGCGACGTCACCATTATGCACGCCATCCGCTGGTCCCCGCCCTCCCCGCTTCTTAGCAGCTTCCACTGAGAGAACTCTGAGACCACAGCATACCCGCTGAGGGCCCACCAGTCCAGGCTTACCGTGCTGCCCACAGTTGTAGGCCATCACGCAGCGACTCCAGGGCATCTCGGTCACCCCCAGAACACCCCTGCCCCCTTAGTCATCATTGCCAACCCCTGGGTCTCCCTCCCCAGCCCTTGGCAGACTTCTGCCTGCAGATTGGCCCGTCCAGAAACTCCACATAGACGGGGCCTCCTGGCTGCGCGGCACGCGGTGAGGGGAGTGGGCTGGGAGTGCCGCGTGCCCACCCACCTGCCCCACAGGTGGAGGAGAACCGCCAGTACCGCATGCACAGCCTGCAGCAGAAGGCCGCCAGCTCCATCTACATCAACTCGCGCAGCGTCTTCCTGCGCACCGACCAGCCCGAGGGCCGCTACGTCATCATCCCCACCACCTTCGAGCCGGGCCACACCGGCGAGTTCCTGCTCCGCGTCTTCACCGACGTGCCCTCCAACTGCAGGTGCGCAGGCTGGCCCACCCAGGCAGCTGGACGGGTGGCAGGTGGCGACGGGGCCCTGTGGCCAAGCTGCTCAGCATGTGGCCCAGCGTGGAGCCAGCCACCGGGTGGGCGGCGGTGTCCTGCCTCTCTCCCCGCTCCCGGCATCAGGGGTGCACTGCACTCCACGGTCACAGAGCTGCTCCCCCTGGGTCCCCTGAGCCGGGCCCTGACTCTCCCATTTCACAGATGAGAAGAGGGGATCAAGGGTGGGAGGTGGTCCGAGGTCACAAACGGCCAGGGGTGGCCCGTCCAACTCGAGTCGAGTTCTTGTCACCACAGTTCTCTGTCCCCTGGAGGCTGGCTCTGGGGTCCAGTGGAGCCAAGTGTAGACCTAGGGGTCCCACGCTGCCCTCCCACCTTGGTCCGCAGCCCCAGTTCAGTCCCAGGACAGTGTGCCCTGCCGCCTCCAGAGCCAGGAGGCGGTTGGTGCTGGGTCAGTGACCCTGGGTCCTGCCGCTTCCTGGGCTGAGCCCGGAGCTTCCTCCACGGTAACGGGGTGCCATCATGGCCGGCCCTGAGCTGTGTGAGGACGCCCTCCAGCAGTGGCTTGGCCACAGGAGGCGCTCAGGGAATCACACCCACCCACCTCCCTGGCTCTGTCCTCCTCTCCCCACCCGTCCAGGGAGCTGTGTCTGGACGAGCCACCCCGCACCTGCTGGAGCTCCCTGTGTGGCTACCCCCAGCAGGTGACCCAGGTCCACGTCCTAGGAGCTGCTGGCCTCAAAGACTCCCCTACAGGTGAGCATGTCAGTTGCCCCATGCCCACCCTGCCAGCCTGAGCCTCCACCCACAGAGCTCTCCCTTGCAGGTCTTGCCACCTAGGGTCTAGCATCTACCTCCTGCTCACGGGGTGGTGGAGCAGCCAGATTCAAGGAAAAACAGCTGGCAGGGAGAGCTCAGGGAAGGCTCCCTGGAGGAGGGGGTCTTTCTCCAGGCTGAGAAAATAATAAGGTAGATAGCTTGGTTAAAAGAGGTAGCAAGGTTCTCTAGGCAGGGGGCAGCAGGATGGGTAGAGGCCCGGAGGCCAGAGAGGACCAGGTACCCCAGCCAGTCTGCCTGTCTCTAGGCCTCAAGGGACTGGAGATGGGTCAAGCTTTGGTTTCCCCATCACCTGAGTAACCAAACCCACGTGGATGGCTGCCCTCCTAGACCTCTGTCCCCTCCAGCCCTGCCCTCACCCCACCTCCCACTCCCCCTCTCTAGGGGCCAACTCTTACGTGGTCATCAAGTGTGAGGGGGACAAAGTCCGCTCAGCCGTGAAGAAGGGCACCTCGACCCCTGAGTTCAACGTGAAAGGCGTCTTCTACCGCAAGAAGCCGGGCCAGCCCGTCACTGTCCAGGTGAGCTCACCATCCAGGCCAAGCTCCCCGCTCGGAGGGCAGGGCCCGTGCAGCCGGCTTCTAGTTCTTGGTCTGTCCCTGCTCTGGTGTGGCCATGGGCATTCCAGTTCCCCTCCTGCTGCTCTGGAGTCGCCCTCCATGGGGGACGAGTCAGATTAACCAGTGTCATTCTGACAGCAGCAGGGGCTGGCCGGGGACAGTGGTCACCTCTCCTGACCTCTCCCAGAGCCTTGAAAACTGTGGTCACACTCCACTCTGGGTCAGGATCCTCTGGGACAGTTGTACTATGCAGAGGTGGCTGGTTTGGTGGCCGTGTCCTAAGGCCTGGAGCAGGGGTCAGAAAGCCGGTGTCCCTGGCCTGGCCTTGTCGTCTCTGCCGAGGTAGCTGGCAGACAGCAATCCCGAGTTCATTAGCAGGAGCTGCCCTGTCCCCAGGCCCAGACCAGCATCTCTCGGGGTGAGAAACCATCCGTAAACAAACACTCGGGTGCCCGGCGGGACCAGCGTAGATGTTCCAACTTTTCTTAACACTGGGTCCCACTGGGTCAAATCACAGGCCCGTGGATGTTGGGGCTGGAGGGACCCCTGGGAACAGTTGATCCGACTCCCATGTTAAATATGGGGAAGCCAAACTGGGGGTGTCCTTCGTCCAATTCACCCAGGGAGATGCAGAGCTGACATAACTGATTAAACTTTATTTGGGGTTTTTTTTGAGAGAGAGATTTTTGCTATAGGGCATGTGCACTCACTGGAGAGACAGAGATAGAAAGGGAGAGATCCCCCCCCAGGGGGGATAGCCACGCTGCAATCCCTTCTCCTCCATTCTCCTCTCGGGATTTTGGACATGCACACACATGTGCCCGGTGTGAGTTTTAAGATGCTGGGTCCAGGACTAGAGCCATGGTCAGCTATGTGGGAATCCGGCGACATAACCATTACACCACCGACTGGTCCCCTGATTTAACTTTGTATGTGTGGGGGGGAGCCCAAGCCTCTAGAAGGAACTCATCCTGGTCCGAGGTTCCTGGTCAGGCAGGCACCCAGAGCCCCTTCTCCTCAGCCAGCTTCCCCTCCAGGAATCAGGTTCAACTCCTGCCAGTGCCCACCCCTTTCCTGTCCTGGAGGAGATGGCCCCTCCCACAGGCTCTGTCTCCTCCCAGATCTGGAACCACCGGGTCCTGAAGGACGAGTTCCTGGGCCAGGTGCACCTGAAGGCGGATCCGGACGACCTGCAGGCCCTGCACACCCTGCACCTCCAAGACCGCAGCAGCCGGCAGCCCAGCGACCTGCCGGGCACCGTGGCGGTGTGCGTCCTCAGCAGTACCTCCCTCGTGGCGGTCTGACGCTGCCCCCCGCCCGGCTCCCACCTTCCTCAGCACCTGCATGTCTGCCCAGCCTGGGACCAGCCCAGGAGCCAGGGCACTGGCGTCTTTTTCCCTCTCCCAATTTGCTCTGTGACCCTCTCTGAGGCCCTAAAACATTCCTTGTTCCCAGGGAGTCTTCTTGCCTGAGGTTAAAACACGCCCTCCCCACCCCAGCTGTCACCACTGCTAAGGGACTCTACCCTTTGAAGACATTTTCCCAAGGCCCTGCTGTCGGCTGAGGCGTGCCAAGAAGATGTCACTTGTTTACACACAAACTGCCATGTCCCTGACCCCCCTCTCGCAGGTGACGGCCGTTCACTCTCTAGTCCTGTCCGCTCCCCCATCCGTTGCATTCATTCAGCAGAGATTTGCCAAATGACTAAATGGCGCCCACGAGGCTCCAGGGAAAGCTGGGCCCTGCCCTGGCCTGGGGCCTCATTTCTGCGTCAGGTCCTCTCAGAGGCAGACGCACCTTCTCATTCCAGGTTCTGACCCGTTCCCGGCCCCCTCGTTTACAGGTGGGGCGGTGGCAGAGGCCCTGAGTGAGGGGTGTCTTCCTGCCTCCCCTGCCTGATGCTGGAGCGTGTGCACCAGAGGTCCGGGGCCAGGCGCGGGCTGCGGCCACCCGAGGCAGGCCCCTTTGCCGCAAGACCCTGGCTTCACCTGGGAGGAGGGGCCCCGGGGGTGTGGTGCCAGGCCTGCCAGGGTCAGGCCACTGCTGGGCTTGGTGGGAGATCTGTTCCTGCCTGAGGCGGCCCTCCGCCGACGTCCCCAACACAGCCGAGAGGACAGGCTCGTCCTGCCGCCTGGACCAAACGTACCTTTCGTCCTCGCTGTTTTATATCCCTTCTGTTCTAAGAATAACGTCAGTTCTGGCCAGGTGATTTTAAGGGAAGGCGGAAAGCCCCCCCCCTTTTCTCTTGACTCTGGTTTTGCTGCTTCTCTGGTTTCGTTTGGGTTCCCCATGGGGAGGGACATGGGAGATGTCCCTCGCCGAGGTCTGGAGGCGGCTGACAAGGAGGCTCTGTGCTGGCCCAGGAGGCCTCCATGAGAGCCGGCACCACGGCTGCTTAGGTCTTTGGGCTCTCCGCGGCCGGCGAGGGAGTGCAGGTGTTTCGAGGATGGGACCTGAATGTGGGACTCCCGGTCCCGGTGGGAGTGCCTTTGCCTCCTGGCTCCGCTGCTGGCTCAGCTCCTGGGCCCTGGCCTGGACCACAAGAGGGGCCGGAACGGAAAGACAGGACAATCGGGGGTTTCCCTCTGGAGAGCGGGATATGGGCCTGGGCTGGGACGCCGCACACAACCAGGAGCAGGTCACTGAAACCTCCTGTGCCTCGGTTTCCACCTTCTACCGAGTGGGGCCACCGGTCCTCGCGCCCCGGCACCCGACTAACAAGTGCTGGGCAAGAGCCCATAGCCCCTTCCTCTGCCCCATGGAATCGCCACCTCTCAGTGTTGGAAACGAAGGCTCGGTGGGGGTGGGGAGGGGCGTGCTAGGTCTTTGCTCAGCAGTGTCCCCTAGGTGGTGGCCCGGCAGGACGAAGGGACAGCCCTGCCAGGCCAGCACTGCTTCCCACCCCCCAGCAGGGCTGGCTGCGGCCCTGCCCTTGTTCCTGCCCCTTGAGGTGGGCCAGGCGGGCTCCTGGCAGTGGGGGCAGGTCCCTAGTTCCCCAGAGGCCTTAGGCTTGGGCAGGTGAGGAAGGCGGCAGGGGGAGTGATTGCTTAGTCCCCTGCATGCAGCCACAGGGCCCTGGAGCCCCCCGCGTGTGGATGGTGGGGTCCCTGGACCTGGCCTCACTCCTCAGGGCCTTCCGCCAGACTGGGGAGACAAGTCCTGCTCTCTCAGAATAAATGTTACTGCAGTTCCAGAAAGACCTTCCCGTGTCTGTCTGTCCCTCTGCAGGGAGGGAGGGAATACATAGGCCTGGGTGACTGTCCCCTGGTCAGAGGGACGCCCGGGGGTGGGGGGACTTGGGAGTCACAGGCTGTGCTGGAACATCGAGCGGAGGTCATCGTGACCAGACAGGCTCTGCTTCTGTCACTTAGCCAATCTGCACCGGGCTGGCCCCAGAGCCTGGAGGGGACAAATGCACTGCAGAGGGCTGTCAGGCGGGCACTGGGTCCTGCCTGCTAAGTCCGCGCCCGCCTGTTGAGGTGGAAGTGCCATGTGAAGGGCCCAGGAAGAGGACGGGGTGCTGGGAGTGTGGGGAAGCCAGGGCAGTGGGGAAAAGCAGGGTTGGGGCAGACCGAGGACCACTGCGACACCCTCTGTGAGCCCCCAGCAAAGAGGAGGGGCAGGAGGGTCTGCAGCCTACTGGGGGAGGGTGCAGCGGGAGGCCACACGGACAGGAGCCATCCCTGGGCTCCCCACCAGGCGTGGGAGACTGCCGCTATGGGCTCGGGGACTGCCTGGCAGTTCCTGGGTGCGGGGTGGACCCAGGCCGGGCTCTTACTGCCCTCCCGACCCTGCAGCTCAGTCCACTTCCCTCCCAGCCCAGCCCTGTGCCTGCTGAGAGGGGCGCCCTGCTCCTCTCAGGGCCCCACTATTCCATCGTGGGGTGGGGGCTGATGCTCGTGCTCCACCTAGCCCGCAGGCCCGGACAGGTGAGTCCAGAGCGACAGGCACTGAGATTGGTGGCAGGTGTCAGTCCGGGAGCAGGACCAAGCTCCAGAGCAGCTCCAATCCGGGCGGCCGGGCTTAGGTGCCAGCGCGGGAGGGGGATCAGAATCTGGCGCTGAGGGAGCCTGCGCCCAGCAGGTGGCGCTGTCGGGCCATTTTTCTGCGCGAGCGCACACACCACACCACCCCACCACCCCCCACCCTCCGTCAGGTCTTGGCAGACACTCCAGTGGCTGACGCCTCTTTACCTGGGCTGCTCCTGGAAAAGTGACTGATGGGGCAGCTGCAGGCATGGCAGGGGGTGACGGGGGCAGGAGAAAGTGCCAAGGCTTGGTGAGCATCCCTTGAGACCCCATTTCCTGTACTCTTCCTTGCCCCACCCCTTCTAATTGCCAGAGGACAAGTGCGTTCATCAGAGAGAGACAGAAGAGGGAGAAAGCTCCCACCGAGGGGGCGTGGTCCCTCACACAATCCCTTCTTTGTGTCTCCATCCGGTCCGGATCTGGGACGCACAGATGCTCCTGGTGTGGTTTTCAAGCCGCAGGAGCCAGGATTCGAACTCTGGGCAGCCATGGGGGTTCTAGCTCTCTTAACTGCTAGACAACGGCCAACCTTCCCTCTTCCCTTTTGAAATCCCATGTTTGGTGGCTAGCAGGTGGCATAGCAGTGGGTGTGCTGGACTCCCACATGGTCGACCGCGGTTCAAGTCCTAGATCTGGTGACTTGAAACTCACTCCAGGCACATGTGCATGCATGCCAAAAATCCCAAGAGGAGAATGGAGGAGAAAGGATGGTGTGGCCATCCCCCCTGGGGGGTGATTTCTCACTTTCTGTCTCTCTGTCTCTCTAGCATGTCACATACCTTATAGCAAAAATCTCCCTAAAAAAAAAAAAAAAAAAAAAAGAAGAAGAAATAAATCCATGTTCACTTCAGTTTCCGTGTGTCCTGTTCCACGAGGGCTTCTCCTAGTCGGCTGGTTTGGCAACATTTCCAGATGATAGAGGAGCAGGCACCCCCCACCCAGAGCCAGCTGCGGGGCAGTGTAGAATCTGGCTTCACGGGACGTGGCTGAGAGGGCCATTGGGAAGCAAGTGAGGGGCAGGGGCTGTGTGTGTACAGGGAGGAGGAGAAAGCACCAACTGGGGTCTGGCTAGGCCCCTCCTTCCCGTCTGCCCTGCCTGCACCTTCTCTGAGCTCAAACAGCCCAGTGATGGCAGAACGGCAGCCAGGGAGGGCAGGCAGGGCTGAGACCCCAGCCAATCAGTGAGCAGCCAGGTCAGAACAGGCCTCTCCACCGGACTCTGAGACGGAGGCCCCAGAGGCCAGGATGGGCAGCCCTGCCCAGGTCCCGTGCCGGTCAGTGGCACAGCCAGGAAGAGCTCAGCGCCCCCGTGGACATGGCCAGGAAGCTCTCTGCACCGAGCAGGGCAGCCTCTGGACGTTAGCCTCTGGGCCACAGGGACAGCCCGTCCCCCACGCTGATGTCACCGCACCCCGACCTGGGAGGCCCCTCGACTCCGCCTCCTGGGAGCAGGCTCTGGAGTGAGGAGGGGAGGGTGGCAGTGCAGGCTGGACGGCCGCCTGGGCAGGAAAGAGGGAGAGACGCTGGAGAGACAGACACCCACTGTGAGCCCGCAAGACCAGCAGAAGGGGCGCGTCTGCGGCGGCAGGCCCCTGACCCAGCCCTCCGTCATCCGTGCAGGAAGCAGCAGCACCCGGGCTGGCAGGCCACTGAGAGTGGGCAGCCAGGGCCCGGTAAGGATGGCCCCCGTCCCCAGCA